CCTCCTTCTCACCTTGTTTAACTCCCTTATCGGAGGAATCCTTATAGCCATTTTTGGAAAGTGGTCTGAAACTCATGTTTCGGATTTTCTTTTCGACGGAGTGAGAGAAAAAGTAAAACTCTTGAACTATGGCAAAGCAAAAATGAAAACATTTTATTTCCTTCCGAAGCGAACGTTACATTTTCCAAAAAGCGGTAAGCAAAAAACTTTTTTCATTAATTACCTAATTTATGAGATTTCTCCAGCTTAAAATTCTTCATCAGTGTGAGATCCCTGAGTCAGTTTGGCAATTCCCGCCTATGTGTTCTTTTCCCGGAAACCTCGCTATAGCGAAATTGGGATGCGTTCTCTTAGCTGATATCGAGCGATCACATAAGCAGGAGGATGTGATCAGCGGTCGATTTGTTGTTCTTGTTGTAAAGAATTTAATATTTTTTAAACTTATTGCTTTCATTATTCTACTAATGCCTGACTCTTCAAAGACAATAAGATACAAAAAGAAATTTTTGAAAGAAAGACAATACACTGTTGATACTTGCACAACAGTTGAATTAATGCTTATTTTTTATTGCGGTTTATATATAATTCTTACAACTAAAAGACTAACAATGTTACGTATTTTGTTGCATAAAGGAATAAAACAAGCATATGCGGACATTAAAAATTAGTACAATTAAAGTTTACAAAATTTGACCTTGCAATGACATAGATATTACCAATAATTACGTTGGCAAACATGTTTGAAAATAAATTCTATTTTCAATCATAATTTTTTTTTTTTTTAGGAAAGGTATATGTGCATTACCCTCGCTATCGAGCTATGGTGCGTTATGAAAGATAAAATCTCCATGCGATCGCTTTTTGGATTCATTGTACACGATTGCTTTCGCAACGAGTTGGACTTTTCGCTCGTCAAATTCACAGCAGACTATTTGTGAAAACATGAATGTTGTGCGTACGTTAAAATAATGCAAAGAAGCGGAAGAAAGTAAGTAAAGTAACAAACGAATTATAAAAGTTCTATTTAACCAAAATATCAAGCAAAATCAATGGTATAAATAAAGTATAAACTGAAGTTTGTAAGTATGTGAGCCTCATTAACCTGCCTGCACCGTATTTTTTCGAATATGAGGCTGGTGTTTGAGCCATTTTTTAGTCTGGTACTCTCTCTCTGCTTTCGGTGAGCAGAATTGGCCTCCTAGATCAGTGTGATCAGTGTAACGCAGTTGACGACCATTTGCTCGTTTTGATATTTCACACATAAACCGATAGTATATATAATTTGATTCAATAAAAATATTACAATAAAAAAAAAAAAAGAAAACCTCGGTTTTTTATTCAATTCAAATCTTGCGTAAGTTTTGGGAGAGCCTAAGGAAGAAGAAACCGCAACTTGGAAGAAATTTCCCCTCGAACACTTTTATAACACCCTAGTCGAACATCACCATGAACGAGCACTTTTTAAATCCATTGCCTCCGGCATTTTCGTAACTGAACTTCTATTGCTTCTATGCTTTCCCAAAAAAAAAGTGAATAAAATCGAAAAAACTTATTGTTGCGCTTAAGTGTTATTCTCTCTGCATGCATTCGAGAAAATGCTTGAGAAAATTTCACTTAAGTTGTATTACATTCGAATGATTTTCTATGCACAATGAATTATTGCAATTAAGTGCATTTGCAACTCGTGCATATTTTTATACATATACGGGCGTTTTCTATGCACCTATAATGAATTGCTAGCAATGAAACTTGCTACAGCTTATAGTAACAATAATATCATCGTTTCGTACCAATTATCAGCAACCTTCTCATTACTATCGTCGTCATCATTATCATTAGCGGCAGGAGGAAAAGGGGTGCACAGCATAGTTTTCCTTTCTTCGAAATGATAGTAAATCTTTTTTTTCCCCCACCTTTTTCTACATTTTCTTGTTTCTCAATTTCTGTTTTTTAGTATGACTTGTTTAAGGCATTAACAACAGGTCAGTGCGTTTTTAGTAGATTGCATTGAATGCCGTGCCTTTTGTGGACAAACTAAAAAAAAAAGAAAACAAAACGCGCTATTTATTATTAGGGAAGCGTAAGAATACGCGTTAGACTGGCTCAAGTATTTTGTAAAAAAGGTATAATGGCAATTTTTAATTGCTTTGAAGGCAAAGCACTGCATACTAAACCGCGCTCCCACCTTCCACTTCCATGGAGCGTAAAAAGTGCAAAATTCGTGTTAAAGCCGATCTTTGATACTCATCGTCGCCAGCCATTAATTATAAAAATACAAAATTTTTCAGTTGCAAAACTCGTCAATTAAAAGACGGCTTTCCAAATATTATATATACGACAGTTTCCTAAAATAAATAAATGTACGTTAAGATACTTACCCTGATGACGAGCTGATCGAAATCTCTCTATATTTCTTACGAGTAATTGTGAGAATTTTCAGATTATTTCTGTATTATTATAGGTTATCTTTGACGAGCTCATTGCCAAACTGAACCTTTTACCTTTAACTATCGACGGCAAATTTCACAACCGTGAGCTGCCTAAAACTACAGGAACGCAGGAACAGGCCTAACACTACAGGAAAGTAAAAATGACTCACGCTGACCGATAATCTATATACCCTGTATACATAATTGTACTGATGATCATTTTTGATGAAAATTATACATATTTAAAAAGTTATATAATGAATAAGGTCGCGTTTTAAATAACTTACACCACTTGACCTGCATTTAATCAAAGTTAATTGAATAAGGTATAAAAAATTATGGGCATATAAAATTGTGTTCTTCAGAAAGCCTTGGCGGGAAGCGTCCAAAATGTCAACTGACATTGCACAAATTTTGTACAATTAATTCGTTTATTTTCCACCAATTCTGTGATAAAATAAAATTTTGAAACTAAGATCAGCTTAACTGCCAAGTCTTCCACTGTAGCCTAGATTGATGAAAAAAGATTAAAAAGAAACGGAGAATTAATGTTTTGGAAATCGCTCGAAGGAGACGAAGGAATTCAAAATATTTTTAGTTAAACGTCTTAGCTTATTATTACCTTAAGATAAATGTTAGATGCGAAAGTTTTCTGCTTTTTTTAGAAAACCTTATCCGACTGCTTCACATAACTCTTTTAAAAGCTGCCCTTTTCCTAACCTTTTATTCTTTGTCACATTCGGGCAAATTCATCGTGCCCTATGTCTCTTGTTGTCTAAGGGAATATTAAGTTTGTGAGAGTCAATGCATCACCAAAAAGGACCTGAGATGGACGAAACCTTTATTATACCGATTGATTGAGAGTCACTTTTTGAATCGATTAAAACTTCTCTGTCCGTCTTGTTATCTTGTCTTTTACCAACAGGCTGCAAGTTTTAACAAATTTTGAAGAAGTCCGGTACACTGATGTGTTTCGGCCCCAGAATAAACGGACTAGAACGGACCACATTTTCAACCACTTCCCGTATAAAGCCTCTTTTTGAAAAAAATTATTACGCGAATACCTATAGGGTGATGGAATGTATTGAATGATGACCCTAAGCCGCCTATAATGCTATTACTGATTTTTATGGGATGGGATGGGAAAATTAAAAAATTTAATCGCATCCTTCTTATCTTTCTAGAGCTAAACACATAGTTTCACTGTACGTTGTTGCAATGATGCAATGCAAGCTGCATGTCTAACCACATGTAAGTACCACATAAATCGAATTATGTTCCGAGACTTTTTGCATGATAAACCATATCGTTGGGCACAACAATTTTTCGAATATTGATTCGATCAAAACTACAAATGTAAACTTCTCTGCCTATTTTCTGTCTGCTTTTTTAAAAAATTCAATAAAAATTTTTTTGATGTTACTCAAGTTGCTTTTGGACAAGAGAGAAAAAAGGATTTTATTAACAAAACTTTGGTAGATTTACAATAAGCTTCATATGTATATAAATATATAGACGGAAATCACAAATATCTATAAAAATATATATGTTTAAGTAAACATTATCTTATAAATGTTTTACAAAAGTTTCTTCCCAACATTTTGTGCTTAATTTTAATACAGCTAGAGAAAGAACTTCCGTTACGGCAAAAATTCTCCTATATTTGCCTTTTAGGATGCTGAACTTAAAACAAATAAAGGAAAATTATTGGCTTATACCTTAAAAGAACTTTTACCGATGTTTCTAGCTTCCCACACTTTTTAAATTTCTTTTTAAAAGTTTTAAAACTTGACAAAAAAAAAAAAAACCTTAAGGCATGTATAGAAAAAATATCAAATATATATGAAGAATGAATAAAAAACTGAAGAGAAGACGTTGGGTATCTCACTTTTGTGCAGAAATTATTCACTAGTGTTGATGGTTATAGTTTTGCCTTTGGGATCATCAAAACGATCCATGGTGTTAATATCCAACATCCAGCAGACGCCGGCAAAAAGTATGGTCAATAACAAGACAACGATCAACAAACCCATAAGAATTCCACCACTAAAGAATCCTACGCAATGCCAGGCATCGCCAAAAATGAAATCAGGTTTCGTTTTTGAGTTGAAAGGTGCTTGAAATTGCAGCGAATGCCAATGTAAGGTGTAGGGATCAGCATCAGGTTCGTGCTCTGCACGTATACGATATAGAGTTAAATCACCACAAAAGTATGAAAAAGTTGTGGGTGCATTTACTTCAGAGCTTCGAAATTTCTTGCCGTCATATTCAACGTTTGCCATGTGAAAGTAACCGTGCGAAAGTTCGATGTTAAAAGTCAATGATTTACTAGCATTTGTGGCCATCGTAACCGATATGTTGCTATTCTCCACTTTGACGGTCGTTTGATCGACTTTTAAAAAGGAAGTGTCTTTACCATCGTTAACAGCTAAGGAACGGAAATAGAGCAATAAATTGGCACCTTCACGATACATATAGCCATCGGTTGTGGGTATAACTTCTCGACGTTGACGATTTAAAGCTTTTGTAGACTTAGATGCAGTGTATATGTAATAAGCTTTGTCACCAAATTTTCCAATAACTTTAGCAATTGCTTCATCTAAAGAGGAGTAGATCTTCAGTTAAGCAATAAATTTTATCGCGGTAAACTAACCGTGCTCCCGCAACACAACTTCACGTTTTTTATTGAAATCCTCCCGATCATCGAAGTTAATAAAAATTATATTCTCACGCGCTAAATCCAGAAATTTTTCTAAATTGCCGTTATCATCAATGGTGATATCTATTTGCAATTTGGTGTTGTTTATTGTTAAGCTCTTTAAACCTTCCACAGGATCTTCTACTGCGGCATAGTAAGTTTTCAAGGGTGCAGCTTCCAAACGATCAAAACATCCGCACGAGAAATCTTTTTGGTTTAGCTAATAGTGAATAAACGGCATTATACGCGAACAATTCCTAATCTTTGAGAACTCACATATTTCTCCACAAACACTACAATAGCCTTCTTTTCCACAAAAGGTTCGATAATGTCTTTGATAAACTCCGTTTGGCCAACAGGAATCAGAGAAGGTTTGTCGGTACTAAAGCAGTTCAAAACATTACTCATGATCGATGTAAAATATTTCCAATTCACCTCTTGACACCCAATAAAAATACTGGCGCATAACCGGCCTCAATCTGAGCCAAAATGCTGACAAGCACTGCACATAATTTTAATAACATTTTTAGCCAACAATTTTTTTCACAAGAAACCTGGATAAATTAAAATTAACTAAAATTTAAGAAAAACCTAAAGAAAAGAACTAAAAACTTCTCTAAGCTGATAGAAAATTAAGTGAAATTATGACGTCTCGTTTAGTTATGTCAAATAGTGAAAAATTATTCATATCGTGTATGACTGTCATGTGATTAGAAATAAAATTTCTCTCCCAAACTTGGCAGTATTCCGACAGTAAAACAGCTGTTATATAATTGGATATTTAGTGGGAACATATAAGAAAGTTTTTACGAGAAACTGAACTAAACACAATTATTTGAAACAAAAAAAGCGCGAAATCACGCGGAAATTGATTTATAAAATATCTCACCTTTTCCTCCTCAACGTTCTCTTGTTTACAATCGGTGAACGCAATATAAACAATATAAACTAAACTTGCTTGGCAGCACTTTTAAAAGAGCAGCTGCATTAGTAAATTTGTTCCGAAAAACAAACGACGACATGTAAACATAATAAGAATTCGATATTTCTATTAAATACTCTGTAGATTTAAATAAAAGTTAAAATAAATATGGATATTTATCAAATAAAATTGTAACATGTTTGCAAGTAGGAAATTGTGTCATCGTAAACTACGTAAATACAAATATCGTTTGCTGGCCATTTTTATAGTGCTTGTTATAATCTTTCTAGCTTATCAAAAGGTAGCTTACAAACACAAAATATTTATTGCATTCTAAATAAAAATACATTTTTCATTCCCAACAATATTATAACTCTCTTAGTTTTATCCATCCCATAATCTTAATGGTTCGATTTGTGAACCTATCGATGTTGTTTACACTTGGGTGAATGGCACTGATCCCTTTTTTGTCAATAACATAGTTAAATTTGATCCAAATTATGACGCAACGCGCTATGATGATAAAAATGAGTTACGCTATTCTCTGCGTTCTTTAGAAAAGTATGCTCCCTGGATACGACACGTTTATATAATTACAAATGGACAAATACCATATTGGTTGGATTTAAGCAACGAACGCGTAACTGTAGTACCTCATGAGCTCTTAACTCCATATCCAAGTTGGTTACCTACTTTCTCCAGCTCAGCAATTGAAACATTTCTACATCGAATTCCAAATTTATCGCAAAGATTTCTTTATCTAAACGATGACGTTTTTTTTAGGCGACTATCTGTATCCGGAGGATTTGTATACGGACTCGGAAGGAGTGCGAGTATATCAGGCGTGGTTGGTTCCAGACTGTGCAGAAGATTGCCCTTGGACTTATATAGGAGATGGTTCATGTGATAAACATTGTAATATAGCAAACTGTCAATATGACGGTGGTGACTGTTCACTGGAAACCAATAACTCAAATAACATAAATGAACACCTAGTTAATCGCAGTAAAGAACATAAAGATCTTTTTGAACTTTTAAAGGCGAACACTACCACCGCACGGGTAGCAGCTCATTCGCATATACGAAAATTTCCTAAAAGGAAAAAAAGTTCCTTCAATTTTAGTAATTTACCTAAAAATTCGTCATTTAGAGATTTGTTACATTATCATAGAAATCTTACTTACGCTCAAGACTTTAAGCAAATGGTAGAAAATTATAATAAACGCCAACAGGAGAGAATAAAACCCAGTGTAAGCGCTATGAAAACTAGTAAAGCATCAATGAACCAAAGCCACGGGAAAAGAATCAAACCCAGGGATATATTTTCACAGTCATTGATATACACAAATATGCTACTAAATCGCTGCTACGGTTTTAAAGCCCGCCATGTGCTGGCTCATGTTGGCTTTCTACTAGAACGTACTATAATAGAAGCTATGCAAGAGAAATTTGCACCTGAAATTTTTAATACAGCCTCTCATCGTTTCCGCTCCGCAAACGATATACAATTTGCTTTTGCTTATTATTCATTTCTAATGGAAGAAACTCGTACAACCAGTGTACGGGAAATATTTTCTGAATTTGACACCGATCATTCCCATTCATGGTCAGATCGAGAAATACGCACTTTATTGACGAGAACATTTCCTCTACCTTTAGACGTGTCAACATTGCACTTTTTTGAAGAAATAATTAATAATTGCAGTCGTTATTACGATTCGAAAGAAATAGATCAGTCTATTTACACTACCTTGGTATATGAACGATATATGGATTCGAATTTAGTAAGTGCAACCAATGACGTTAAGTAACCTAACCTCATTTGTAAAAAATTTTTTCGTGTCTTTTACAGCCCAGAATTACAAGGGATTTTGTGGAAAAATGTTTGCCATTGGCACAAGCTTTAGAGGAAAATTTTTCATCGAGATTCAAATACAAATTTCATATTAATTCAAAACGCTCTCTAAATAGTAATTTTATGATGCTTACCTCCAACATAACTCAAGTGGCCGAAGCTCTAGACAAAATTCGTAAAGTTCCGAGGTATTTATGCGAAAATTTTTTGTGCGCAATAATTTTATAAATTGAAACAAACCGGATTTTTTCACTTTTGTGTCAAACAAATTATTTCAAATTTGATAAAAAGTTCGCATTACATTTACCGGTTTCAAAAGGCGAGCAATTAACGCACGGTATTGTCATACCAAAATCATGTACTAAAATTCGAAAATAATATTGCCAAGTTTGAAAATATTTTTTACCACTCAAGATATGTTCTTAACTTTCAATAAATTTTCTTTGTTTCAGAAAATTCAATTGCATTAACGATAACATGGAGCCCGGTATAGACGATAATGATCTTATACGTCAATTATTAGAAGATTTCTACTTATCGTTCTTCCCCGTTCGCAGTCAATTCGAATTGCCTTTGCAATATCGCAATCGATTTGAAAATTGGCATGATTATCAACGATGGCGTCGACGAAAACGTGCTGCTTTAGCATTAGGTTACGGTGTAAGTGCCATTTTAATAACTTTTGTTCTGAGATTTATATGCATTCATAAAGCAAAGATTGTACGACGTTATGTCCAGAAATTATAATAAGTTAAAATTTGCGAAACATATTTTACGATAAGATTTAATTTAATTAATTTATTGATTGTATTTTTTTTTTTGATAAAGAGAGAAGAAAACTTTATGGGTCGTATCGAACCTGTTCGATTCAAATAGAAAAAAACCTTAAGGAGTAAAAGAAAAACTTGCTAAAAGCAATACCTATTAGAGTCTTTCTCTTGTGAATACAGAAATTTTTAGACACTTATGAGCCACAATTCACACGGAAGGGTCGGGAGGCACATATAGATATGCTTGCCATATAATTCAACTGCAGTGATTTATATGTAATAAAAATATTGAACTTTTTTAAATATTGCATCAATTGGAAAGGAAGATTCTTGTTTTTTGATGGCCAATCACTCTGGCCATCACGAAGATGGGAATAGCCAGAAAGAAGAAGTGAAGAAAGGGAAGGATATAGAGAGGTGAAAGTAGCCTAGTAGTCTGTATGATCAATTATTACGGCTTCAGTGAATAAATTCTCATTATAGCTACGATCCAAGCAAACTTTTACTACTTCAAAAATTGTTAAGCCAGCAAAACCTAATCAGATATCATAAATAGTTGTTTTTTTTGTTCATTTAACTTTACCCTGTGAAATATGTGGGTATGAACACAAAGTTATCGATGGGTGCGGACGGATATTAGTACATAATCGTCACGGCAGCTGGGAATCACAAGACAAGATTAGGAGTGTTTGATTCTCAATTGTATTCATAACATATTATATATATACATATAATTGTTTAATAGCATTGTGTACATAAATATATATAATTGTATTCTCATTTAACATCTTATTTTCAAAAAAAAAAAAAAAAATTTCAAAACCCTATGTTATCAGTTTTCAATGAGTAGTTCGAACAGATTAAAAAGAAGAAAATATTTACTGAAATACTTTAGAAATTCTTACGTACTCCTCCAGGTTTATAACATTCTAACTTTTTGATGTTTATGCATACAAATGTGAGTAATTATGATTTGTCGCTTGTGTATAAGAGAGATTGAAGAATTTATTAATATATTCGACGTGACTGGCAGTAAATCTAATATGGCATCAATAGTAGGAAAGCATTTCTGGTTTGAGGTAAACAAACTATTTGAAAATTTCCGCTCAAACAGAAATCAGGAATACTTAGTAATTTCTAGCCACTTCAAGATGATCCAATATCCACAGTTATTTGCAATACATGTTGGTTTAAAGTCTCCGATTTTCATGAGTTTTATGAAAGTGTGGAAGAAGCTCAACGTCAGCTGAGCGAAACATTTCTAGTGAAAATAGAAAGTCAAACTAAGGCGAGACAGCGACATCACTTTTTAGAGGATGATCTGATTCCCTCCAGTTCTTTGCCCAGCAAAAGAGAACCTGATGATGAGTTCAATGAAATTAACGATGAGGTTCCTTTTGATATGCTAATGGGTGTAGCATCTGATGATAGGCATAAAACTGTCGCCAAAGCCGCGGCTATAGCTTTGGGAAGAGCTGAAGAAGATTCACATGATGCTTTAACAACGCATGATTTTAGTAACAACTCTATGGAAGATGTTGAAGTTCCCAATTATGAAGATGAAAAATTTGATAGCCATGATGATGACACATTTGACGGTGAAGCGTTCATGAAAAATATATTAATAAATGACAATGCAAAAGATACTAAACCAGTAAAAGAGGAAACGATTACTGAATCAATCCAACCTATAGGAATTAGAGTGACAAGATCATCGTCTAAATTGCAGCATAATGCACATATAACCCAAACGATATTTTCAAGCAAAAACGTAAAAAAAGGCCCTGGAAGACCACGAAAAGCTGAAATCGGCTCCTCAAAAGAAGCGAAAGACAAAAAAGCACCTGAAGAGTCGGAAGCTTACCGCAATAAAAGCTTAGCCATCGACAGAGAAATATCCAAGTACATGTCATTGCATTGTGAAATCTGCAATGGAGAAGTAACAAATTTTGCTGCTCTTAAAGGCCATATGCGTGTGGAGCATAATGTTAAAGGTGAATAAATAAATAAATAAATTTGCATAAATATTTATATTTATATCTATTGTAGGTTACGCTAGATGTTGTAACAAAAAATTTCTTAAGCGAGTCTTACTTCTAGAGCACATACGTAAACACTTAAATCCGGATTGTTACAAGTTAGTAATTAATCTTTTATTAATAAAGTTATATACTAATTTTGCTATTTCTAAGATGTGATGAATGTAATCGGGTTTTTGCCGATCGCCAATCTATGCGTAATCATTTCCTTATCAAACATCAGAAGGATGAAGATAAAACCTTTACGTGCCAACAGTGCCCTAAGAAATTTGTTAGAAAGTATTTACTTGAACAACATAAAATGTTTGCCCATGGAGATCGTACGACCACTTGTAAGAGTTGCAATAAACGGTGAGTAACCCGCTATCACTTACATCAATTTTTTATTACGCTCCATTTAGTTTCGATACTGCAGCCCAATTATCAACTCATACCAAAGAGCATTGCTACGGCGTAATGTGCGACATCTGTGCCAAAGTTATACGTGGCACTGCAGCCTTTCAGCGTCACCAATTGGAACATCAAGGCATTTCTTTCCCCAAAGTGCAATGCGACGAATGCGGGTCATGGCACAAAGACAAATACACGCTTAACAAACATAAGAAGCGTCATGAGCAGTCCAAGGAGTTGCACGTCTGCGATATTTGCCAAAAGGTATCGCCAAGTCGTCCTGCAATGTTGAGCCATAAACGTTTTGTGCACAATCCATTGCGTTCCTTCGAATGCAATGTGTGCAAAAAGAATTTTAAAAAAGCCATATATTTAAAAGAGCACATGGCCTCGCATACAGGCGAAGTGTTGTATCGTTGCCCTCATTGCCCGAAAACTTTTAATTCCAATGCTAATATGCATTCACATCGCAAAAAAATGCATCCGCAAGAATTTGAAGAAACTCGTAAATTAAGGCGTGAAAACGCTCACTTACCAGAGCCACCTATGCCGTCAATATCATCCCTGAGTAATGTCAGAAAATTACCAACAGAGACAAAAACCTTACTTGTTATAGACAGTCAACAGAATAAAGTTACAGAAAGTATTTTCGTCACATCAGCAACAGCCAATGTGTGAAATGTGAAATTAATACCAGTTTATTATATGATATCCAAAAATAATTTTCAAAGGAATTGCGGAACCATAACATTAACTAATAAAATTTACATTCATTTTACAGCTTTTGAAAGGGTATATCATAAAAAAATCTCCTTAAATTGCAGGAAAACAATAAGACATTTTTTGTCTTACTATTTTTGATTGGAAAACATTCAATTTTGGGAATTGATTTATTGTAGCTCGCATCGACCAATATAACAGAAAAAATCGAGCAATTCTTAGCTAATAAAAAAAAGGAAAAATATACAGAAAAACCAACGAAGTGGAGTTAGAGAAATATAATTTCTTAATTTTTTTTTTTTTTTTTTTTTTTTTTTTTGTATATGAAAAAATTAATGTAGAAAAGAATTCCGCTTAAAAATTTATTATACAACATTAAAAAAACGAAATTTTAAAGAAATAAAAGAAATTTATATATATAATATAATTTAATTACGAAAAATGTCTTCATATTCTTATAGGAAACGATCATTAAAATTTGACAAATATAAACTTTCGAAATTTTCAGTATAAGTTGATATACACGATAGCTAGTAAGAAAGCTACATTTAATCTTAACCTAATCTTTTATACCGATCACCGATCACCGCTATCGTAAAAAATACGTAAATATGCTAAATGTTCATACTCATTTCGTACGCATTGCGTAGGCGCGGTTGTTTTTTTCCATTTTCAAAATAAAAATCGAATATTATACGAAGCATATTTTGTATTTTATAAGCTAAAGGGTTCATAGTTTTTGTTGCATAGGCGTGCCCTTTGGCCGGCTTGGGTCATTTTCAATTATTTTTACAAATTTTTATGTGATACCTTCATTTTTATTGCATATATGCATATTGGCATAGATATTACATAGTCGAGCATGTGGGCAGATCGATGTGTTTAGGTGCATTACATTAATTAATTAATTAAGTTTGTATGCAACACCCAGATAAATTCAGAACTTTTTTCTGCATCGCTTCTTGAATCGATCTAAGCTGTTCATCTGGCCAAAACTTATTCGTTGCAAAAGGAGAAAAAAATAGCTCGATAGTGGATATCAACGCCAATCATTAAATACACTAAATACAAATTCGTTGGAACGGAAGCTTGTGAATCAATTACAAAACCAACAACGTCTACAATATTTACAACATGTCGATAATAAGTAGTGCAGGAGATTGTAAACTGGTTAATAATACAAACTTGACTGTATCAAATTTGGGCTGAGTACATCTATATTTTCAACATCATCCGACGTAGAAGTTTTTATGAAAAAAATCTAATTTTTAATATATTATTATTTAATTAATTAATGTGATACTCCGGCAGGAACTGGCGATGTACATTTCTCTTTATCGCAAAATGTTCCTGTATCGGGAATACTATTTAATATACTAAATAATATACATATAAGAAAATGATAAATCAAAGACAAGCAAATTTTTCGCATATTTACGCTCGAATAATTTTTAAATTTTAATATTGTATTTTTTGTAATAACCAAACCTGTTCAATCAAGTTAAACAAAGAACGAAAATCAATTGGTTTGTTGTATAGGTTTGAGATTTCAAAAGTTTTTTTTGCATTGAAATGTTATGTTAACAGAGCTTTTTAATTTTTTTTTTTTATCTTTTTATATTGTTTTAATTTAACAGATATTTATTGTTTTAATTTATTCCGCTACGGGTTTGCCTTTTTGACGGAAAGAAAGTGGAAAAACGCAGCCTATATATATATAAATCTCAAAGAGGGAATTTTTAAATTTTATTGTGGGTTTCATTCATTTCAATTACAATTATCATTTGGCAATTTGCTCCTGTACCGGTTGTGGGTGTGGTCTCTACTTATTTGTTTTATTGTACTTATACTAAGTTTTGATATTAATTAATTTATGATTTTCTTTAAGGGTCGATTGAACTCGCCTGTCAATTTGTTTTAGTTGGGTTCCTGGTATAAGTGGAATAAATAAATAAATAAATATGTCATAATTAATATATCAAATCTTTTATACCCATCATCATTATCCTAAAAAAAAGACAGAAAGAGTGAAAAAACTACATTTTCATGCTTTATAATATGGAGCGAGCCTGGCTGATTTTCCCTATTTTCAGTGTCTGTCATACAGACGTGTGAACGTTGCGGGCGTGTCTTTTCGGAAACATTCTTTTGGTTCGCTAACAAGAGAATGTTTATCACAGATATTACACAGTTGCACAGGCAGGCAGATGGGCAAACGAACAGGCGGACGTGCTTAGGTGCGTTCAAAATTTGAAACTGGCCGAGAATTTAGCATCGCGTATAGAATAAGCGTTCAATTTTTTATATATTTATCTGCTATAGTTTACAACTAATAATCGAAAACCAAGTCTTTATTATTTTTGAAAAACAGAGATGTTCTCAGTTTACGTGGTCGTGTGCAAGAACTTCTAATGTTTCTGCCAATTTTGAAGACCTTCATTTTTGCGGCCAAAAGAATGTTTACAACAGACATTACACGGGTGGACAGGCAGCTAGGCAGACATACGGACAGACATGCTTAAATAAATTTAGGATTTGATGCTGATCAAGAATATAAGTACTTTGTGAGGTTTCGCGATGCTTCCTTCCGGGCTTTGCAAACGTTCCGATAATCACACTTCTGTGATGGGTATAACAAAAATAATAGATTATTATATATTCGTCGTGGTGCCTTTCAAGTAGATATGAGTTTTATTGTTTCTGCCAAGATAGTAAAAGTTTGGAATAAAATTTTTGGACATTGCTATGGACTCGACTAGAGAATTATGTATTTTTTTGTAATTTTTTCGACAATTTCGAAACATATATGTTCGATGCTGTTGTTCACAAATGCAGCAAAAGAGGCACGTTGTAGCAAAAAATCATCGAGGAAAGAGAAGAAATACGTGAACTTTGAAGGATATGTTTATGATCCTGGAATCTCCAGGTAATAGAAAAAAAGGAAAAAAAAAATTTTAATATAATAAGAAAACATGTCTCTCACTTCTCAAACTTGCGCGCAGGATAATTTTCAATTTTTTATTTTTATCTAAAGAAATACATAGGGTTTCTTCGATTAATTAATTTAAACATTTACGTATTAAAAGGCCGCTCCTATGTCTTTTTTAAAAGTGAATTGCTGCGATGTTGCCGTCTATGAATATTTTTCCAAAATTCTAGTACTTGAAGCCATGCTGAATAGCATTCTCAAATACTGTGTTGTACTACTCTTCCTTTTATACCAAAAAAAATTGTCAAATAAAATATTTTATTTCGGTTGCGAGAGTGCTTTACCCGGTTAAGAAAGTTAACAGTGTTTACACATTTTTCCAATCTAATTTAAGGTTTCTTTATGAAGCTTTCGCGCAGTTGAACCTTCGGCATTGAAGCAATCTATCTAGTACTCTGGAATGAACCTATTCAAGATGAAAAATTCAATTGAATTCACAAAATATAAAAACGCATGTACGGACATTAGAGAGCAAACTTAAAACGATGCACGAAAAGATTCTAAATCTCCCTTAATTCTTAATTAACCTACAATGTACTGCAAACAGCGAAGGGTATAATAAATATTTACGATATGAAGAGCGCACAAGAAGCAGGTACGCGAGGTAAACAAAGAATATTCCAAGTCTTTCTGCTTATATTACTATAGATCCGCTTAATGCAAACCTCAACAGGTTGTGTAATAAATTGTTTACCGATAGACCCTGTCATAAAATAAAGAATTTGAGATCACCCTATGCGTTTTGCCTGTAGAGTAGCACACAAAATTTATTAATAAATGGAAAATTCTCGAATTTGTTGCAAAGAAAAGGGGATTTCCCTTAATCCGATTAAGGGAATAAAAGAAATGAATAAAAAAGGAGAATACTTTCATAATTTATTCAGTAGAACTGTTTACATCATCGAGCACGGATCTGAACTTACTACCAGCACGAGCGAATTAAACTCAAAAATTTATCGATCAATTGTTTATTAATTAATTTTAATTCGAGATACGTTTCAGTGTTTTATTTAGGGCTAATATAAACATAGCTTTTAGTAACTTTTGAAAACATTCGCAGCCTAGTATCTCAAGATGTCGAACGCGTAAGTAGAAAATTGAATTGAAATTTGCTTTTAGTGATTTATTGAGTGATAGACTCCAAACTTCAAAAGTTAATGATTTTTTGGATATAATTAATGAAATTGAAAATATCGATTCAGTCGGCGATATTTTCCCTTAATTAAACTCGGCAGTGGAAGAGAGTTGGCGTCATTTGATTTAGTCGTTGGTTATAAACTATTCGTTGAAATTTGAGAAATTGTATCCAAAGAAAGTATTGAAGTGGTTCCCTTTTACCTTTACGTTCCATTTATTTGCTGCGACAAGTGAACAACGTCTTTTTTTATATCCAGCATGTCCGTACGGACGTCTTCTAGGTGTCTGTTGTAAATATTCTCCTGGCCGCTGAATGACTTGAACTTTAGCAGAAACGTTGAAAGTTCTTGCATTTGCGTTGAAAATGGCCCGAACCTATCGACGGACGCGCCCACTGTGTCGCCTAAACTGAGCACACCTTCGTTTATTCAAAAAGAATAAAAAAAATGATTTCTTGCTTAGTACTCATAATCCGCGCTGTAATAACCGAAGAAAAATTAAAGGAAGAGAGCAGATCTACCGAACGTTGCCGAAAATTAACTTTTTTTTCAACATCTTTATAACGTGCAGAAGCGAACTTCACAAATACATCCTTGGTCAGTGTCGAATTTGAAATGCACTCAAGCAGATCGGTCTGTTTGTCTGCCCATCGACTGTGTGCCCAACTATGTGGTAAACATTCTTCCATTCGCAAAATTATCGCTTACAAATTTGCTAAGGAGTTTGAAAATTGCCTAAGCACGTCAAAGAACAACCAACCCCCACCAACGCCCACATGTTTATTCAACAAGTACGGTGAATACTATTGCTTTCCGTGGTTTATGCTTATAGTTACTTAGAAAATATAACGCACACACAATATAATTTCCATCCTTGTTCTGAAAATGGAAAAATCAACCGCGCCTCTCTAATATCACAGAGCATGAAAAATTCAGCCTTCATTCCTCTTTCAGTCTGTTTTAGGATGATGGTGATAGATATAAAAGATTCAGGTGCGACCGAATATAATTTTCTTAGTTGTTACGTTTGAAAGATTTATTTCACAAGCCAAACATAGACACACAGACACATAATAATCTGAGCTCTTTTCTTGTTTGGGTGAGATTTTGCTACAGAAATGTCGCTAACGTGGAATCGGTTGTCTTTGTTCGTATATAAGCCATGTGTTGCTTTTAATCGATTTGCTTTTTTTGTTTGAAGTCTTAAGACTCCTTCAAGTTCATCTAAGATTGTATATTAAAAGTTAATTTAAAGAAATGAATTAAAACTTAATTTAAAAAAATGATTTATGGAGAGAACTGGTGGGTAGAACTTTGACAATGAGTTACAGTAGCTCATGAAACTACGGACAGAAACTACTTTCCTAACCGACCAACTTAGATTCAATACTCTTAACATCTATTATTTTTAATTTAGAATTTCCAACAATTTGGTCGCCGGAAGTACAGGGGAAGCTGAACAATTCTTCGCAGAGAAATGTAAAAATCCCGATTATAGTAACGCTTTCCTCGATAGCTTAAATAAAATGCGAATCAATCGAGAGGTAACTATACACTATGCAGCTAGTGTTAGTAGAATCTAACATATAACCATTTGGTGTTACAGAATTGCGACTTTGCTTTGGAGGTAGGGGGCGAAACCATATATGCCCACAGACTGGTCCTTACAATTGCTTCCCCCTATTTTGCAGCCTTGTTTAAAAGTAAGTAGTTTCACAGACTTTTCAAATCATCTTTGAATAGAGTGCATCTGAACTGCTTTAGATGATACAAAAGAAAAAGCCACAGGATTAGTTAAATTGGAAGATAATGACGTAAGCGCTGTAAAAACCATCGTTGAGTACATCTACTCTGGGGAACTACCACTAACTGAGGAAAACGTTCAATCGATTTGCACAACATCTGACTACTTACAGATCGAATGGGTAAAAAGCGAATGCTTGGAATTTCTTAAACGCAATTTAAACGCAACAAATTGTCTCCAGCTACGAACAATCGCCGGTAAGAGAATGAATTCCTGCTTCTGTTCCTAGAGTACAAACATTTCTTTCTTGCAGAAAAGTCACCGTTCGAAGAACTCTATGAATGCAGCCGCAATTATATTTTAGCAAACTTTGTCATATTAATCGATAAGAAGGAATGGTTAGAGCAGACCTTTGAAGTGGTAAGTAAATAACTGAAGCATTAACCATTGGGCGTAGTAAAGAAAAGAACGAAAGTCATATTGGTGTTGTTTGCCTTTGTAATAAAAGGATGTTAAGCGACATCTTTGGGATAAAGTCATACTTGCCGTTCACGGACCCATTTCATTAGTGTTAAGAAATTTTGTCAAGCAGATAGAATGTCTTTTCTTAAGTATACTTTCAACGCCTGCTTCATGTTCACCACCTAAGTACGCCTTTTTTGTACCAGTTTATTGAAAACATGATCACCGCCTGAAAGTATTATAAAGGTGTTTGAAGGTTGTTTCCTTTCATTATCGTTTGTTGTCGTTTAACGAACATTCGTAGCCTCGCTCCAGACAATTAAAAACTTTTATTACATAATTATATTATTTGTCGACCGAATTGTGATAGACATACTTATCTCTTCGCAACTGTTAAGTGAGCGTGTTTTCTCCAACAGAGAATATATCTCCCAAATTTTCTTTATCTGTGGGTTTCCTAACGCCTTCCATTAGCGTTTCGCTCCAATTGCTTTTTTCTGATATCCAAAGGAAAATTGGCATAAGAAAGCACAGAAATAAGTTAAACAATTAGAAAATTATATATTTTACCGAACATCCGGACGAGAAGTTCCAAGTACCGTTTATCCATTTGCATACCACAACATATTTTGATATTAACTTGAGTCGTAATATTTTTAAATATTCTTTTCAGATTGAAGATTTAATAAAAGACGACAAACTTTTAGTACACCGGGAAGAGAATGCATACAAAGGAGTAATGAACTGGATAAAGTACGATTTGACGAAAAGACAAAATTATCTCGCAAAGCTAACGCGCCACGTTCGCCTGACTTATGTTAGAACTGAATTCTTGAGAGATCACATCCTTACCGAAATTATGCTTACAAGCGATCCGCAATGCAATCAATTTTTAAATAAAGCCTTCAGATATCAGCTAACACCACGAGCCCATGGTCCATCCAGCGCCCAGCGAAATCGAAATGGAAAGTTTCTTGTTGTGTTCGCTGGTGGTGCGGATATAACGACTGACACAGCGCATCGTAATTGCAAAGTCTACGATTCAACCGATAACAACATGTCGCCTATTCCAGACATGCTAGATTGTAGATCTGCACATTCCGTAATCTCTTTAAACGGTAAGGTGTATTCAGTGGGAGGATGTTGCGATGATACTGGGAAAACCGCGGAGTGTTACGATCCGGTTGGTAAGAAGTGGACTCATATCGCGCCCATGAGCGCTGGTCGCTATGACTTTGGAATTTGTGCTTGTGATAATCTGATGTATGCTATCGGTGGTTGTAGCCGTTCAAGTGTTGAAAGTTACAATGCGGCCACCAACACATGGTATACGTGTCCAGATATCCCTTTTGCGGTCAATTTGTTCTGTCGTGCAGCTGTTATAAGACACAGCATTTATAGCTTGAATAGAAGATCTAATGGCATTACTTCGTGTATCCGTTTCGATTCGAGAGAGGGGCGATGGCATAATCTGAATGAAATGCCATGGCGTCTAACTAACGATTCTTTTGAATTTATGTCTTACGATAACTCGTTGTTTTCTATTGGGAGGAATTGCTCACGCCTTGACATACGGACAAATAAATGGGAGGCGATGCCTTCTATGCTTTTCGAAAGGTTCGGCTATTCAGCTGCTATCATAGCAGAAGACGTATACGTGTTTGGCGGTACGGGCACAGATAGGGATTACATTAACAGTATAGAACGCTATAATATTCATACTAATGAATGGACAGTAGTCGACTCGCTGGAAACTGAAGTATATTGGGGAGGAGCTGCAGTAATCAGCGGCGATTTTAATTTGAATTGAATCCTGAAAACTAAAAACTGTCTTGTATTAATTCTAACTTTTAATTATTTTACAAACAACTATAACTTTACATAGGGAAATGTTTAACCTAAATATATATTGTGAGAGATAATTTTAATATAACCAATTTGCTTGTAAGAATAAATTATTTCCAAATAAAACGCTTTCAATAGCGAGAAACGTTAGGCGTACCTCCTACTCACCTATGAAAAATTTCTTATCATTTCTTATCGTATAATATACGTATGGAAGTGTAGAAAGTCAACAATTGCTTCCGCTTCAGATCACACTCCGTTGCAATGTTCACAAGTAATGTGATCCTGACTGTTGAGGCCAGGAAAGTAGGTTTCTCTGTCATTTAACGTATGTCATATACGGTGTAGATAGAAGTTCAACTTTTTCTGCTACACCGCATTATTTTAATCCAGGCTGGCATCGTAGCGATTGCCCTCTCAGATATATAAGAACGCAGAAAACAAAAATCTTACGACTTAATTAATATCTTGCGATACTGCGCTGACGCTTTAAAAAGAAAAAATAATTGTGTGCAGTCATTAAACATGTGAATCACTACCGATGCTTAAACATAAAATTATTTACTTTAAAATGTCTATTTAAGAATAATATTAGTTGTCAAACTCGTTGCCTCTTTGTTGAAACTTGATTCAAGTTCTGCTAGTGGGGAAAATTACAGCCGTCCTCCAATTATACCGTACTAACAATGCTTATGCTCGAACGCATTTGTTATATTAGGTTCTAGCATGTATTTTGATCATTTTTCATTTTCTCAACTCTTTCCCATCTTTCTGGGAACAAGGCGCTATCGTGTAGAAAGAACCATATTGGGTTAGCAGCGATCCAATTGTCGACCTTCGGACGCACTTTTTGTGCATTTTGCAACCGCGTGAGAGTCAAGCTATGCTGCGTGAATCTGAACGAGTGATAATCAGAAGGCACTATGTCTGGTAAGTACGGTGGGTGCGGCAGAACTTCCCATTCGATCTGCAAGAGTGTAGCCTCGATAACTCTTGCAACGTGTGGTCGAGCGTTGTCGTGCAAAAAGATGACTTTCGGTCTGTTAGACCCAATTATCGTTCTTTTTTGCAACAATGCCTCGTTTAATTTTTTCAATTGACGTCAGTAGACATCTGTAGTAGGTTTTAGCTGACCCCACCATATGCACAACACAACGTTATGGTTGAAGTTTCTTCTCAATTACACTAAGGCTTCTGACACTTGAGATTGTATCAGATCCAGTTTCCATCGCGGATCACAACGCACCCAGAAAACTTTTTTTTCTAAGAAAAATTGTTTTCCCCGTGAAGGACGTAAAATAATTGCGTTTCACCTTAAATGCATATCGAATTATGTTTTTGAACTGCAATTAACTTAAACCTTAAATATTTAAAATTTTCTTCTCCTTAATTTAAACAATTTTTGTTTGTTACTCATTAGAAAAGAAAGAATTTTTTTTTACACTTTTTTTTTAACGCTAATATATTAAGCTGTTTCCCAAGTTTATTTTCTATTCGCTTGTCTTCGGTTTCTTCTATAAAAAAATATATTTTTATTTGCTATTTCCTTTCAAGTACTTGACGTTTGTCAATTGTTTAATTTATTTTGCGTTTGCTGGAATATCCTATCCTTTCTTGCTTTTTTTTTCTTTTTCGCTTAAAAAAGTTTAATTTACAAAAGTTAAGACTAAGAGAGATATATGAGATATCTTTCAAAAACCAAATGCAAGCACACATACCATCATCCAAACTCATTTCTCGTTTGAGTGAGATTTTTCTACAGAAACGTCGCTAACGTGGAATCGGTCCTCTTTATAAGTATGTAAGCAGTTTGCTGCGTTTAGTCGATTTGCGTTGTTTGTTTGAAGTCCTATGATTCCTTCAAGTTCATCTAAGATTGTATTTTAAAAATTCATGTAAATTAATGCTACTAAATCTACTTTTTTAGCTGACCAACTTGGATTTTATAATCTTAATATCGATTACTTTTAATGTAGAATTTCAACAATATGGTCGCCACAAGTACAGATGAAGCTCAACAATTCTTCGCAGAGAAACCTAAAAATTCCCATTACTGTATTGCCTTCCTCTAAAGAGGGAATAGAGAATATGTCTCCCAAATTTTCTTTTTCTGAGGATTTCCTAACGCCTTCCACTAACGTTTAGCTCCGATTGTTTTTTTTCTAGTATCTAAAGCGAAATTTGGCATAAGAAAGCACAGAAATAAGTTGAACAATTAGTGGGCGAATTACATTTTTTACCGAACATCCGGAGGAAAAGTTCCGAATACTGTTTATCCATTTACTGCAACGACGCTTTAAAAAGAAAAAATAATTGTGTGCAGTCATTAAACATGTCAATCACTACCGATGCTTAGACATAAAATTATTTACTTTAAAGTGTCCATTTAAGAATAATATTAGTTGTAAAGCTCGTTGCCTCTTCATTGACACTTAAGTCAAGTTCTGCTACGGAGCAACTAACAGCCGTCCTTCAATTATACTTTACTGCACAATGGTGATGACGTAGGCTCGAGCGTACTTTTTGATCGAACGTATTTTCCATAATTTTTTCAACTTTTTCCCATCTTTCTGGGAACAAGGCGATATGGTGTCGAAAGAGCCATATTGGGGTGGCAGCGATCGCCAGTCACAATGGCCGTAGAAAACTTTCCCTTTTTTGCATAGCAAGCAATCAAACCGCTATGTTGAAACTCTTTCTGAATCTTTAACATCACATATAAATGTCTAGAGACAGTTGATTCATCAACCGCTTAGAGCTATGAATTTTGTTGGGGGTTTGAGATGATTTTTTGTCCAATAAGCCTTGCAATTCATTGTCTTGTCAAAACCAATAAGTAGGCTATGATGGAGAAACAACACCATAAGTTTGTGAGAGAATTTGATGGGCTTCGGTAGTAGATTTCTTCAAATCAAACTCGGGTAAAATAAATTAAGAGCCGAATTCAGTTGAGTCACTATTATTTTCTGTAGGGAAGGGTCAAAATCATCAGATTTAATCGTTGTTTACGTTAATACATTACATTATTACATCCACCAATAGATGTCGCTGATCAAAAGACATACAAACACTTTCCAACACTGTTCAAAAGCCAGCTTTGTTAGATGGCCCGTCTTCTTATACACCTATCTGTCTCCTGGACAACGTTGATAAAATTTTATAAAAATTGTTGCTAACGAAATCAGAAGACCTAGATAGCCCCGAGCTTTTCTAGGCAACAATTTGACTTTGTCAAACAACGGTCAACAACTAGTGCTTTTGAGTAAGTGGTCTCGGCGGCTTAAAGCAAAGCAAAGGCGCAAACGGGTTAGGCGCTGTCGTCATTCGGGACCTCAGAAATGCCTTTAATGCGGCGGGCTGCGAAACTATCACAAAATGTTTAAGCAAGCAAATGTTTTCTCTGTACTTGGTTAAAATGATAGACAGCTTCTTGTATAGTGGGAGTGTACTGTATAATACAAACCACGGCTTAAAAAACACAAAACTACTGCAGTGGTATCGCAGAGGCCCATCCTATGTCCTTTCCTGTCGAATCTCACGACTGACGGCCTGCTTAATATGGAGATATCAAGAGAAGTGAAATTGACAGATTATGAGGATGACATAGCCCTCATAGTTCGGCGATCCTGGACTTCACTAATAGAGATAGAATAAGTAAGTGGCTACATAAGTCAAAATGGAAATGCACTTTATTGTCTAGAAACTCTTTTGATTCTCAAGGCCGTTACCTAAATCGTTGAAACCACAAACCGACAATTTGGATATAATGGAGTTCAGCTATTTTCCAAATTCATTCGCGGGAAGCGTAATTGAAATCACAGCTTTTCAAGGGTATTTTCAGAAGCAGCTCTTACATAACCAACAAAATTGCAACAAAATTTTGCACGACACTTAATAATAAATGATGTAGACATTGTCAATGTCTATGAGTACATATGTCTTACCAATCGAGCTTCAACAGTGTATACTTGACAACAGTTGCAACGTGCCAACGAGCGTTTTCATGAAAGAGGATGAGTTTGCGTCCTTTAGCCGCTGTTGCTGGTCTCTTTTACAACAAGAGATCATTCAATTTACTCAAATGACGTCGGTAGGGAGGTACACTAATAGCTTCATTCGGTTTTAGTAGCATTATTCCTTCTTGACCACACCATATGGTCGGCAAGAGTTTATTTTCACGAATATTCCATCTCGGTACCGGTGTGGATGCGCTCTTCTGGACTAACCCACGACTTTTTGCGTTTGGGATTGACGTATATTCCATTGACAGTCGCAATACACTGCAGAAGAATCCTCTCCTTTTTGCCTGGCAAGCAATGATGTCGCGACGTTGAAACGCCATTTAAGTCAATTCGTATTGTAGCCATTTTCCCGCCTTTTGAATTATTTCCATCGCATGTGAACGTCTACAAACAAATGCATCATTACCTGTTAAGCTGTTGGTAAGTTCTTTGTAAGTTTGAGCTACGTTTTCGTCCAATAAGTCTTGCAATTGATTGTGTTCGAAGTTTTTTCCTCTTCTAGGTCGTTTTTTGTTATTGACACCAAAATAATTATTTTGTAAATCGTTGAAACCAAAGCGAAGAATTGGGATATGAAGAAGGTTTTGTTTTATAAGAAAGCTTAGATTATATAATTTTTTTGTTTAAATTTCATTAATAAAATAAATAAATTGTAATGGGTTAGACGGTCGATGCGTACAAATGTTTCATTTATGTGGAGTGTGATTAGGTGTACAGCAGTTTAGCCCTAAGCTGCTCGGCTGCTCAGAACGCCATGTCTTTCTGCTTTTTTATAAATGCCAATAATGCTCGGCTTAAAGCAGTCCCTAAAGCTTTACCTTAGGCGGATTGAACGACTATTAATTTTATTCAGCGAATTAAACGCTTGTACATTGAATTGTAAGATAACAATTGACTTCTTTATTGAAAAGTTGCACTATTTATACTTAATTTTCTATACTAA